TATATAATATCGTCAATATTTTAACTTTGGTAGGGTTTGGATTTAGAGTAGGAATTATATGTTTTGATCTTAGATTCAGCAAGTTATTTGCACTAGTAGGTATTAACATGAGTAGGATTTAATTTTTAATAGGTATTAATGAAACCAATTCCTTGTGTAACCAAACTTGATATTGGCTTCAATGGAATTTTATTATCACTATTATAGGAGTCTTACATATGGGAGCTGGGTGCAACACGTTTGCTCATGGGTTGGCTGGTATTAACAAATCTAAAGAATATAAACCGCAGCAATCGTATCAATTTTAAAAGAGCCCAGAACATTAATATTTCTGAGTGCTCTGGTCCAGTCTCTGTGGAGTAGATAATTGACAACGAGACACTTAGGAAGTACAAAGTTTTAGAAGTGCTATACAAATGCTCATTATAACAGTGGGCCATAGCCTCAGCAGAGTACAGTATTATTTAATCATAAAATGTATAGGGACAGTTGCGTATCTAGAAGTAACATGGGGATGATGTGAGAGACGCAAACGTGCAGTGGGGCTCAATGATTTTTTTTTCTGTGGGGCAGGGACGGATCCATTTGAAAGAGGGGTTTCATTTTCCCATAAACCCAAAAATGAAAGGGGATCCTGGGTCCTCCCCCGGGAAAATTTTGATTCCTAGATGGCCGGAAATATGAGCTTTCCCGACTTCTGAGGTAGAAGTACAGAAAATAGAGTGTTTTTTTGTGGATGAAATATGGGTAAATAGAACGACTAGGAAAAAGGTGTGATATCGAAATTCCAAAAGAGGAAACATGTTATAAAGATATCCTGTTTTCTTTCCTGAATTTCTTATGTAAAACCGGATTTAAACTTTCAAAACGTTTCTACAATGTTTATTTAGGCTTCATCAATACGGTATTGCGAATGCATCAATAGTCAATCAGTCAATTGATTGAATAACGCTTTTGTATCATCGGCACACCTTTTTAGTCTAACCTTACAATGACTAGACAATAATTAATTGATATAGAGAAAACACAAAATAAAAAAAAATATGTTCTCTCTTATAAAGTATAATGAAAATAACCTGATGGAAAAAAAATCAATAGGAAAACTAGGAGGAACAATGCATCGAAAAAATGGAGGGGG